GATCAGGAAAAAGTAAGGAAGCAGAAATGTTGACTGTTACAGCGAAGCTGCACAAGGTGAACATTCTTACTAGGGTAGACAAAGTCACAATGACCAGAAGATCAACAACCCACAGGGACGATGGTGACAACCACTTAGTCCTAGGCTCAAGGTATCTCATCACCAAGACACTAACTACTCAGGCTTTAATTCCCAGTGGTGTATGAAATCCGGAATACGAGAAAATAAAACTAGTTAAGCATTAATTAGTTAAATATTAATGAGGAGGGTGGTATAATATATCTTAGCACAAATGTCTTTTAAAATGATTCCAAAATAGTTGCTCCACCAGTTAATGTTGTTTGATTTCCTTATGAAGGAAAAATGACTTTCACTGTGCAGCTTGAACACTAATCACAAGTGCATCCCATTTAACCATCACCTGCACCAAGGCATTGAACTTCACCACCACCAGAGGTCTTCCCAGCCCTCTCCTAATTGCTCCCCCGCCCCTCACTCTTTCTCAAAGACAGACCATTGTTTTGCCTTTTAATAGCTGAGATTCATTTGCCTGTTTTTCAACTGTATACAAATGGAATCATATAGTATATCATCTTTTGGTCTGGCTCCTTCATTCAGCATTGTTTCCCATATGAAAATGTTCTTTGTCTCCTCATTCAACAACAACAAGAAAATACAAATTAGAATTACAACATGATTCTACAACATCCAGTGTTGCTAAGAAAATGGTACCCACGATCACAGCTGGCAAAGACTAAGTTGCTAAATCACTTTGGAAAACTGAACGCCAGTGTCTACTGTAAGTTAATTATTGGCCTTTCGGAGGTACTCTTTTGTGGAGTACTTGTTTTAAGATATTAGTAAAATCATTAAAATGCAGCAAAACAAAGCAAGAAGAGGAACACTAATAAGGATAAAAGCCAGAATTAATGAAATAAAAAAACAAATCACAGAAACCATAAATAAAACAAAAGCCTGGTTCTTTGAAAACTGTTGTGAGCTAATAACACTTTGTAAACTTGTTTTAAGAGAGAAAGAGAGGCAGAAAGAGAGAGAAAGAGAGAGTGGAAGAGGGGAATATTAGGATAGGAAAAGGATGAGAAAGTAGTTTAAAAAACATAAAGAGAAAATTAATTATAAAAGGATATTGGTCTGGAAACCAATTAGGGGGTTCAGAAACAGATTCACACACATGTGAATGGCCAGGGAGAGAAGTAGGTAGTCTTTTCAGCCAATGCTGCTGGGTCAACTAGACAGCCTCATCTTGCACACATGTGAAATTATTTACCGATGGTTTCTAGATATCAATGTGAGAGGCAACACTAATGCTTTCAGACGATAGCCTAAAAGAACATCTTCGTGGCCTTGAAATAAGCAAAGGTTTCTCAAACAAAAAGCTCTGAGTATACTATAAAGGGAAAGCCGATTACACGGACTGTATCAAAATTAAGAACTTATGCTCCCTGAAAGGCATCATTAAGAGAGCAACAACGTAAGCCACCAGTAGAAGATATTTTAAAATGCAAGTAAACAAGCTCACATTCCCAAATAGAAAGAACGTCCCACAAACCAAAAAGAAAAAGACAGATGACCAATTTAAAAAATGGGCAAAATGTAAAATACATATTCATGATGATAAAGGAAAGTGTGGGAAGGATGCTAATATTTTTTTCTAGGCAAACACACCTGCAGGTCAATTTCTTGCTTTAGGCCTTCTGACAGCGCACTCACCTGGAAGTGGGTGACAGAAGAAGAACATGACTTCTGAAACTACACAAATTATAGGCATGAAGTGACCCTCTTGGTCACAGACTAAGTTAAAATGAATGCGTTGGCTGAGTCCAGCCTTTCAGGGGAGCTATGGCTGTCACAGAAGACAGCTGCTGGCCTTGGTGCTTTAATTAAAGTGGCAACTACAATAGATGCTTGAGAGAAATAGCCTACACGGAAGAGCAAGTGATATCCTCCAGCTGCCTCCAGAAACGAACCACCCCTGCCATCATGGCATCTGTCCCGACCTGGTCCAGCAGTCCGACCAGGTTTCTTTCTACCCAAGGCTCGCGTGGATCAAGACTGTTTTTAAAGATTTCCTATGCAGCCTCATTTCAAAGAAATTACTGTCCCAGGTCAACCGTTGATATAAAGGTCAGCCCTGGAGCTTTCCACATAGTCCCAGAAAGACCGTCTTCAGCACTGACTGGTATATAGAAGGTAGACCAGATTCTCCGTTAAGAACCAGCTACCTGATGATGTAGCCATTGCTTCCCCCACTCTCTAAATGAGGAACCTGGGGACCAGGCTGGTAAATGAGCAGTGTGGTGAGAACACAGTAAATGGAAGAGTCAGGGCTCCGCACTGGCATTTTCTGGCCCCAAGATCTGTGCCCTTCCCAGGCCACTACAATGAGGAACTGGGTTTGGTACTGGCGAAGGGTGACTGGATCATGGTATGACAAGAGATCACATACCTGAAATACCGAAGCCAATGATGAGTGCAATCGCTCCAGCCAGAATAATTATGATGCTGATAATGCTGTGGAAAGAGAGAGATAATGGATATTACTTCTTCACTCTATCTGACACGTGGGTCTAAATCCTGAGTTTCTATCTGTCACTTACAGGAGGCACTACGTAAGGCAGCTCAGTGTTTTCTTCAACATAGCTGCCTTCTTCAGATTAGAGACCTTAGAAAGGAATGTCAACTCTTCCATTCATTTTTTTCCGGGGGTCTTGGGAAATTGTATAGGAGTACCCCCTCGGTCTGCCTGTGTCCTAATTTGCCTCGGGTTGCCTTGTTTTCATTTCCTACTTCCAGATCAAGGAAGACTATATTCAAAGACTACTAGGGCAAGCCTTACTGAGGGCATATGTTAATGCTTGGTGCCACGAGGGGCGAGTGGGACAGGCTCCACCTTCAGCCCCACCATGGGCATTGCTGTCCATCCTTCTTGCATCCATTGTCTACCAGAGCTGTCCTGTTCCTTCTCGGGGAACCTTAGTAAAGACAACAGCTCGTTCTTCTTCATTTTGTATCTACTCACACCCAGTCTACTGCCTCCCAAAGGTTCTCAGTGGGGGTTTGCTTTACACAATTGATGTATGTATGGATTGTGATAAGAGTTGTATGAGCCCCTAATACAACGATTAAAAAAAATAGAATTGACAGATTATAGACATTTCCTAGAAACTTTGTAAACCACCCCCGTACATGTTTGGCATAGAAAATTTAGAAAATACAGATACACAGAACTTGTACAATAAAACTGCCTGTAATTCCACTGGTCATTTTCCTTTCTTTTTAAAAGTCCTTTTACTGGGTGCTCTTACAGCTATTATAACAATCCACAATCCACTGACAATTCTGTGATAAGTACCTTGCCAGATTTTTATGACGAACTGAACAAATAGCTTTCTAGGAAAAATACGTAAGAAATAAATATTCCTTGTACTGAGTACTAAGCACCATATGTGATTATCTAATTTATCCTTTCAGTGATTTTATGAGGTAAGCTGGTTGAGCATCTCCACTTTACAGGATAAGAGGTGACACAGGGGGGTTCAGTAACTTCCCCAGGGGTGCACCGTTGGTCAGTGGCATAGCTGGGATTCGCTCTGTCCCCAGAATCGGTCTCCTTAACCCTGCGTTTGAAATGTGGGGGCTTACAGACGTCAAGTGTGCCTTTCCTCTGCCAAGGGGAACCCCTGTTCCTTAAGGGGGTACCAGCAGCAGGGGCAGGTCAGAGCCATCCTGCTGGGAAAGCAGTTCCCGGCCAGTCTGCCCATGATGCCCACCCTGGTTCACACATCATCAGGCAGGTGTCCTCAGCCCCCCTCTTTCACAGCCTGTGGTTCACACACTCTGCACACCCACCCTGGTGTTGCTCAAGACCCAGACAAAAGAAAGGCGCGGGGAGCTGACCAAGGACGCGATAGAGAGAAAAGGGAAGTACAGGCACTTTATGTTCTGCCTTGAATGGTCTCTTTGTACCTAGCTCCCCTGGCTCAGGGATGGGCCCACCAGAGAGAAACAAACAAACAAACCGCACTCACCAGACACCAACTGAGCAAACAATTTCCCCGGAGGGCCAGCCCTGGGGAGGCAGAGCCACACAGGCAGCCATAAAGCTCTTTAAACAATAGAACCAACTTCTTGCTGTAGGGTCAACTTGAACCCCCTGTGTGTTACAGAAGAATTGTGCTCTGCTGCCCCTCCCCCATATCGAATGTCTTCTTTTTGCCCAACAGTGTTATTGACATACAATGCACATATCATACAATTCAATAGTTCAATCACATCAGGAAGAGTTCTACAATCATTATCACAACCAGAATGAGGACATTTTCTTCATTCTTGTACCTGTCGTTATTAGCCCCCCACCCCAAGGAAACATTAATTCAATTACTGTCGCTATAGATTTTACCTATCCTAGATTTCATATACAGAAAACCATTCGAAAATAAAAAATACCTAACAAGAATAACAAAGTAAAACAGATTAAACACCTCAACTGAAAAGAAAGAAAGAAAATATTCGAAATGATGGCAACTTTCAATGGACTGTCCTCACTGCCATCGAGCCCGTGCTGACTCACAGCCACGCCTCTGCGTTTTCCAAGACGGAACTGTCCATCCACGGGAGTAGAAAGCCCAGTCTCC